AAAAAAAAAAAAAAAAAAAAAAAAAAAAAAAAAAAAAAAAAAAAAGTTCAACAATGGCTGGTAGGTGGAACAGTGGATAAAGAGCTGGAATCTGGAATATCTGAGTTCAAATCAACCCTCTGACAATTACTAGTTGTGTGACCCCGGGTTAGTCACTTAACCTCTGTTTGCCTCAGTTTCCCCAACTGTAAAATGGGGATAATTACACTATCTCCTAGGGTTGTTTGTGAGGACCAAATGAGATATTTGTAAAGTGCTTAGCACAGTGCCTGGCACATAGTAGGTGCTATATAAATGCTTGTTTCCTTAAGGAGATGACTTCCCTAAACATCATTAAATCTATAAAAGGTATATTTCCAAAAATGGAGCTTAAAGAGGTACAGTTTGGTAACTAGTGAGAAGATGGGAGTACAGGGAGGGAGGGGGAGAAAATGGTAATGCAAATCAAGTCAGGGACGAGGAGTCAATAGTACTAGTTTCTCTTGCTGGTTTCTATTGCCAGCCCCACTCTAGGTCCTTGATATTTTAGCTAGGCCTATTCCAGCTAACATACAACATTCTTGAATAGAATAGATTTGTAAAATCATAAATTTAGAGCTAGACAGGATCTTAGAAATCACCTAATCCAATTCCTTACTTTACAAAGGAGGAGACTGCCCCAGAGGGATTTAAGTGGCCTGCCCAAAGTCACACAGGTAGGAAGTAACAGCCAGGATTTGAACCCAGGTCCTCCAGTTCCAAAGCTGGCACTCCTTCCATTATGCCACACTGCCCTGTTGCCACCTGTATGGTGGGCACCATGTCTGAGTTGTCATTCTGTCTAAACCAAGGGCTGGCTCTCAACCTTTTTTAAGTCAGGGATCCCTTTGGCAGTCTGATGACACCTATGGACCTGGAAATGCCAAACTGCAGTTAGAAGTTATCGAAAAAAGAGGCTTTATTCTTCACCCTCCACCAACAGTTCACAAATTCCCTAAAATGTATCCTTAGACCCCAACTTAAGAACTCTGGTTTAGACTATAGCAATGACTGTCAGACTTTCTGCACTAATAGTATCTTGAAAACATTTAAGAGAAGTAATATATCACTCGCCTCAACCACACCTCTAACATATTAAATGTTGCATGAAATGTATTAAGTTTATATGAATAAAAATAATTGTTTTCTCAAAAATCTGAATATTTCACAACAACCTTTGAGGAAACTAGAGCTTTCTTGAGGGTGCTGCAAAACTAAGGCTGAGAATTAATTGTTCTATCAAAAAAAAACCAAACAAACAAGGTCAGGCACTTCATTTATAAGTAAACAAGGCAGAATTGTAGACTGATGCATGTAAATGCTTAATGGGATAGGATCGTACTAAGTATTAGAAAAATGCAATGTTTTTCTTTTTCCCAAAGCCTTTAATGTGGTGATTCTAAAACTTAGAATGGCAAAATACCCAATTATTGGAAGTGTTTAAGACAATGAGTGGTCACTTGTCAGGGTGGTTTTAAAGGGGATTCTTACATGAGGAGACAGTGGACTAGATGTCTTTAAGGTCCCTTCCAGCCCTAAGAGCTTATGATTCTCTTTCAATGGAGGCAGAGACGAACCATGAAACTCACCCCCTACCCTCAGTTAAATTCACATCAATGTGACTGAGTAAATTCATTTCTTTTAGAAACAAATACATATTTTGTAGAATATTTAGAAGGCAAAAGGCTGGGTGTTATGAAATGAAATGATAACAAAGGGACCCCAAGTGGTATAATGTCAAGTTCACAATTAAGACATCCAGTACTTAAAGCCAATCTTACCAGATTATTAATCTCTACAGGGACACAACATCAGCAGGTGGTTGCATATTACGTCAAAAGCATAACTGTATATTAAACGCTTGTCCAGGAATGTTGTATGTTCAAATTGTACTGGTTATACATGTAAAAGCAACATTCAGGTTAGGAAAGAGGAAGCAAAAGAAATGAGGAACAACAGGAATAAAGCTAAGAAAAGGGAACCTACCTTTATTTTCCCCTTAACAAAACTAGCAATATCTTCTTTATTATCAAATACAGACAATGTATGCAGCAGGTTTTGTTCTAACCACTCCCAATGCTGATTAATCTCCTCTAAAGTTGCTCCTAGAATAAGAAACAAGAAGATGTGAAGAATTTAAAAACTCATACACAGATGAAATATATTTTCAAATATAATGGAACCCATGATTTCCATTGCTTCTAGCTACTTTTCACTTAAACACAGACTCACAGGATCATGGAGTTGGAGAGTCATCCATTCTAACCAACACCTGCAAAAAAATCCGCTTCTGCAACATCCTTAACAAGTAATCATCCTGCCTTCAGGTGAATGCTTCTGGTCATAAGAGAATCCAATACCTCATGAGGTACCCCAATCCACTTTGAGACAGCTCTAATTTTTTTTAAATTACCTTACACCAAGTCCAAATTTTCTAAAGCATAGATAGGTCTGACCATGCTCAATGACCTCCAGTGGCTCCCTATCTCCTCCAGGATTCCATTTAAAGCCCTTCACAGTCTGCCACCTTTCTACCTTTCCAGGCTTCTTAGACTTCACCCTCCCCCCACCCTCTCCATTAGCTCTATAATCTATCAACCTTCTTGCACTCCCTTGAACACTGCACTCCATTTCCCAACTCTGTGACTACACTGGCAGTCCACCATGTCTAGAATGCTCTGCCCCTCTTAGTTTTCCTGGCTTCCTTCAAGATTTAACTCAAATCTCACTTTCTGCAGGAAACCTTTCCCAATCCACTCTACGGCTAGTGACTTCCTTTCTGAGATTATGTTTCATTTACTACACACACACACACACACACACACACGCACACACAGAGTAGGTGGCACAATGGATAGAACACTGGGCTTAGAATCGAGAAGGCTCATCTTCTTGAGGTCACTCTGGCCTCAGACTCTTATTAGCTGTGTCACTCTGGACAAGTTACTTAACCCTATTTGACCCAGTTTCTCATCTGTAAAATTAGCTGGAGAAGGAAATGGCAAACCACTTCATTATCTTTGCCAAGAAAACCCCAAAATGGGGTCACGAAGAGTTGAATAGGGCAGAAATGACTGAACTCAACACCACACACAAATATGTGTATGTATCTATATATTACATGTACTTCATTAGAATATTGGGGGAAATTGGAAATGCTAAATTTGCCTTTATTCAAAAACACCAGTGGCTCCCTATTACTTCAACGATCAAATATAAAATCCTCTGTTTGGCATTGAAAATCCTTTACAACTGGGTCCTTTCCTACCTTTTCAGTCATCTCATACTTTACTCTCCTCCATATAATGTATAGTCCAATGACACTGGTCTTCTTATTCCCTGAATGTGACACTCCATTCTCCAGATGCTATGCCTTTTCACTGGCTATCATCCTTCCCTCTGTGGGCACCCGCAATTTATCTACATACACATACACATAAAATATATGTATTATATTATATATATACTATATAAATATATTTGTATATATACATTATATATGTATCTATACTTATATAATGTATATGTGTATTATGTGATATGTATATATACATAAGTGTGTATAAAACATGTATATGTATATATACATACATATATACACAAATAGTATATACACACAGTATATATATACACGACATACATACACACACACATGCTTAATAAATGTTAGCTGACAGGTTGACTGATCTCTGCCTCCTGGCTTCTATGGCTACCTTCAAAATTCAACTCAAATTCCACCTTCTGAAATCCTTTACTGGTGCCTTCTTCCTCCCTGCCCCCTCCTCCATGTACCTCTGAGATTACCTATTTACACTCTATGTGTATTACTTATTCAATTTTTGCATATTTTCTCACACACCTCCCCCCTCTCCCCACCCCCATTAGAATATGAACTCTTGGAGGGCAGGAATCACATTTTTGCCTTACTTTGCATCTCTAATGCTTACCACAGTGCTTGGCATACAGGAAGCACTTAATAAATGCTAGCTGACTAATAATGCTCTCATATTTCACAGGAAGAACATACAAGAATTGGTGGTGGTGGTTTTTTTATTGTACACATTTGAAAACAAAATATATAATTTAAGCAATTTAATTAAAGCAATACTTTTATAAGTACAAAACAACACACTCTTTTTAAAGAAAAAAAAAGCTTAGTATTTTTAGTTCTTTAGATTGGGTTCCAAGCAATCTCAAAGTAAGCATAATTCTGATATTCAAAGGTAATGAGTGCTCCCAGGATATCTGGCAAAGGAAACTGGGCAATCTATATTAGGTGAGAAAGGCCAGATTTTCCTAATGGGAAATATAGAACATAGTAAACATTTCAAAGATACTTTAGGGGGCCAAAAACACGCCCCTCCAAAAAAAAAATAGGCTTTTGAGCAGAATCTAACCAAAATAGTATGTCTGGTCATTCTAGGCCAGAAACAAAAAGGTACAATTTTCACAGGTTTTGTACCTAGAGTCTGTGCATTCTGCAGAAACGTGTTTTGCTATGTCATTTGCAGTTTGTCTTTGTCCAAAGTATAAATTTGAATGAAGGTTTTTTTACTTCTTATATAATATGTCCCTGTATTAAAAAGAAAAAAATTGCTTTTCACAAAATGCATCAGGAAATTCTTTATGAATCAGCATGATATAGTTGACAGACAGTTAAAGTCTTGTCAGGAAAATCTGGGTTTAAGTCTGACATACCCCAGCTCTGGGTGACCCTGGACGTAGAGCTCTAGACAACTCTAAATTGCAGAGAAGGTGTTGACCTTTGTTAGTTTACTCATCTAGTAGTTGCCTACACTAATGAAATCAAAGATTTGTGTATGTATACATGTTACGTACACGTGTTTCAGGGCAGCTAGGTGGTACAGTGGATAGAGCTTGGGCCTAGTGTCTGGAAGACTCACCTTGCTGAATTCAAATCTGACCTCAGACACTCACTAGTTGTGTGACCCTGGGCAAGTCATGAAACCCTGTTTGCCTGCGTTTCCTCATCTGTAAAATGAGCTGGAGAAGAAAATGGAAATCACTCCAGTATCTTTGCCAACAAAACCCCAAATGGAGTCATGAACGGTCAGACACTACTGATAGGATGGAACAAAAACTGAGAATAAGGAAAAACAACACAATCTCTACAATATTCTGAATGTCCACTGCATCCAGTTTTAAATATTGAGTTTCATACTACAAAATAAGATCCTACAAAAGGTTGTCCTTCTACTCTCCACTAAAATCAGTTTGCTTCTCTTCTTACTTAGCATTTATATAGCTCTCTGTTTGGGAAGCACTTTAAAGTCATTGATGGGCTATTTCTTTCCTTCTCAAGGTCTAAGGACCTGACAATCTTAACTTCTTTTGTTTTAAGGAAGATTTTTAAACCTTGTCTTTTGGTTCAGCAGATAAAAATCTAACTTCTTTCTGTTCCCAGTCCCAGTCCTAGCATCTAGCTATGGTAGTTCTGTTCCCAGTATTCTCTAGCCTTTCCTCGATTCCTCTTCTTCCTGCTTTCAGTGTTTGGAAACCCTTGATTTTTGCAGGTCCCCTAATCCTTGTACTTCTCTTAATTCCTGTAAAGTTCACCAAAGGCTACCCAGTCTGTCTCTCTGTGAAACTTTCTGGCCTTTCTCCACTTTAGACTTACTTTGCACCACCCTCTATTTTCTGAGATCTTTAACTGGCTAGTTTTGTGGGTTAGAACAATATGATCTACTTTGGTCTGGTCCCCCATGTTGATCAATTACCTTTTTCTCCATTTATAGAAATGATATACTTTTAATTCCATATAGTTGCCTTATAAACATGTCGCTATTAATTATAAGGAAGACCAAGCACGAACCTGCAAGTGGAATAAGTGCCTAAAGTGCACAGTTCATCATGTCAGGTGTTGTGCTGTTTTTTGTCCTTTGTTCTTGAAGAGGACCATGACATCAGGAAGGTGATGTCTTGACTTGCAAGTGAACTGGATTTAAGCGAGGCAGGGCTGTGCAAAGTCACCCACCTCACTTTCTCCTCCAGAGCCATCTGGGTCCAGTGGCAAGATAGAGATAAGGAGAATTGGAGATGGCCCCGGATGCAGTGGGAGACCTTGACCTTTTTAAGTTATGTTAGGTACTGGGAATGCTAAGACAAAGCTAAGTGATCTCTTGCCATTTCCATATACTTATCTTCAGTATTAACTCTGTATTAGCCATTTTTGCTTAGCCCTTTCCAGGTCAAAAATCATCCTCTGTCAGAGAAAACAAACAAAATAAGAAATGAACTCCATCTTCTTTCCATTCTTAATTATCATAATCCTATCTACTACCAGGACTATCTTTTTCTTAGGTTTATCTTTCCTTCAATACAGCATTAAAAAACACCCCCTTTTCATACCTTACCAGCCTCGAACTCATTCTGAGAATTAGTGCTCCAGCTTCCTTTTTACAGGACTATGCCAAACTTTTTTAAAAAAATTATTATTCATCCTTCATTATCTGTTTTACTTCCATCTTTACTCCTGGTGTGTCTCTTCACAGTTTTTTGGGGGGCGAGTGAGGCAGTTGGGGTTAAGTGACTTGCCCAGGGTCACACAGCTAGTTAAGTGTCAAGTGTCTGATCTGAGACTGAATTTGAATCCAGGTCCTCCTGACTCCATGGCCAGTGCTCTATCCACTTTGCCACCTAGCTGCCCCTCTTCATATCTTTTTAAAATCTGTGAATTCTTCATCAGTCTTTTTTTCCCCAAACCACTAACCATTTCCTCTTTTAAATGGACTTATTTCTCTTTGTGTCTTCAGAATTTCATCCGTAAGATCCTCCCATCCTTTTGGGTTGACTTGCCATACAGAATTTTAGCCTGTGGGATACATCTATCCTTTCTCTAAACCCTTTGAAACCTACTTTACTAAATGTCCAGCTGTCCTCTCCAATAGCACAAAATTTTTAAATGGAGTTTAATGATACTCAATAAACAGTTATTAAGTGCCTTCTGTTTCAGGCACTGTGCTAAGTGCTGGGGATACAAAAAGAGGCAAAAGACAGTTTTTGCCCCCAAGGAGCTCAAAATCAAATGGGGGAAACAACAAGCAAACACATATGTACAAACAAGCTACGTGCAGGATAAATAGGA